GCAGCGCTCGCCTGGTTCTCCAGGCCCGCGGCGGCCGAGGAGGAGGTGCAGCCCGCAGCGGCCGGGGACGCGGCTGAGGAGGCTGAGGCCGAAATCATCCAGCTGCTGAAGCGAGCCAAGTTGAGTATCATGAAAGATGAGCCAGAAGAAGCTGAGCTAATTTTGCATGATGCTCTCCGTCTTGCCTATCAGAGCAGAAACAATAAGGCCATCACCTACACCTATGATTTGGTGACTATTCTAACTAGTCTGAGCCATTGATGATGAAGGATGGCCAACTTAGCATTTATACGTGGTGAACTTGAAAATGCAGAAAAACTTTTTAAAGCAACAATGAGTTATCTGCTTGGAGGGGGCATGAAGCAGGAAGACAATGCAATCGTTGAGATCTCCTTAAAGCTGGCCAGTATCTATGCTGCTCAAAATAGAGAGGAATTTGCTCTTGCTGGCTATGAATACTGCATTTCAACTCTAGAGGGGAAAATGGAAAGAGAAGATGAACTAGCTGAAGACATTCTGTCAGTGGAAGAGAAAGCCGATACCCACCTCCTCCTAGGCATGTGCTTAGACGCCTATGCTCGCTACCTTCTGTGGACCAAGCAGCCTTCACAGGCACAGAAGATGTATGAGAAAGCTTTGAAGATTTCTGAAGAAATACAAGGAGAAACACACCCACAGACCATTGTGCTGATGAACGACCTGGCTACCTCTCTGGATGCACAAGGGCACTTCGACGAAGCCTTCACTTACGTGCAGAGGGCGTCCGAACTGGCAAGAGAGACTAGACACCCTGAGTTGCACATGGTACTCAGTAATCTAGCCGCAATTCTGATGCACAGGGAAAGATATCCGCAAGCCAAAGAGATCTACCAGGAAGCACTGAAGCAAGCAGAGATGAAGAAAGATGAGGTGTCCATACAGCACATCAGAGAAGAGTTGGCTGAGCTGTCAAGAAAAAAGTAGACCTTTGATTTAATTTTATCTAGCTCTAAATTAATTTTTATTGTAGGAATAATAATTTCTAAGTAACCCAGAGGAATAGTAATTATTCCATTCTCATTGGTACCCAAATCAGTGGCTTAGATCCTTTGTCCTTGATAAGTAACTTTGCCTTCTCAGCTCTGATTTTAACCTCTGATGAAATATGTCAAGTGATGCTTTCAGCTGTGATGCATGGCTAGGTGCCATCTCTGTTGATCCAATATAACTATAGATTTAGATGTACCTTGTTATCTATTCTCAGCGAACAGGGAAGTGTGTGGTAATCTAGTCTGGCATCTCTAACATAATGCTTTGATTTGCTGCCCTTACCTGTCACTATCTATAAGGAGCTCCCTCTCATGGAAAAGGGGGATTACAGTGAGCGGTTCTTCTTTATAATTTATGCATGCAAGTCTCAGTGAGTGGGCTTAATGAAATAAAGAAGAAAAGCGGTATCTTTAAAAAAAAAAAAAGAAGAAATTCTAATTCCTCTAATCATCATAAATTAATGATATTTTGCATAACAGATTCCAAATATACCATAAATACTACAGCTAATAAATATTTTAAAGGTTGTATGCTACATTTCAACACACAAAAATAACTTTTGGCATTGAACTCTTCAACCATTAACTG